CCCGTTCTTTTTTTTTTTTTTTTTTTTTTTTTTTTGCCATAGGGCATGTATGCTCACCACAGAGAGACAGAGAAAGAGGGAAAGTGATAAATCACCCCTCCAGAAGGGATGGCCACATCACAGTCCGTTCTCCTCTGTTCTCATTTTGGAATTTGGGGCATACACACATGTGCCCAGAGTGATTTTCTTTGTACAGAAAGTTTTGCTATAGGGCATGTGCACTCGCCGGAGAGTCAGAGACAAAGAGACAGAAAATGAGAAATCACCCCTTAGGGAAGATGACCACGCCTCAATCTCTTCTCCATTCTTCCCTTGGGATCTTGGGCACACATGCACATGTGGTTCAAGTCCCAGACCCAGCAGCGTGAGTTTGAAGCATGAAGTTGACTACATGGAGTCTAGCAACCTAATCATTATGCCATCTGTTGGTCCCACTGTAGTGATTTTCAACGTGCTGGGTCTGAGAATCAAACCATAAATAGCCATGTGGGAGTTCAGTGCCTTAACCACAAATACCACTGCTGGCCTCTTATCTAGCCTTTTTGCTCTCAAATGAAAAAGGGTATGTATCTAGTTACAAGGGAAAAAAAAATCTGTCTTTGAAGTTGGTATCTAATCACACTTTCAGTACTTTAAAAATGTTTTCATCCTTTTTTCTCCAAACACAAATAGATTTTAGTTTTATTAGCCAACATATGTGCCATTAAATATATTAATTTGGGTCATGTAGAAATACTAGCCAGAAGGCATCGAAGATGGAATGGGTGAAACGTGGATCAGTTACCCTTTCTCAGTGTCTGTTTCCTCTTGATTTTTGAGGCTAACAGGAACAACAGGAAGATCCGTTCTTACAGTGGTACCTAGTTGTCACTAGGTTAAAAATTAGAGTTAACCCTAACCTCGGTGTTCTTCATTGAAAATATATTGGTCACATGAATGATGAATTAATGTGAGATACTTGTAAATTGGAAAATATCATATAAATATTGTCTGTATAGAATACTTCAAAAAATATATTGGGTTGTTGAAAAAGTCATGTGTTTTTCTATGCAGAATTGTGTCATGATTTTTCCAATGACCCAATATATTGGCCTTTTACAGCTGAAGGCTTGACCCAGGGACATGCATTAGCTTAACCTATAGGCCCTGTGCCATGGTGGAAGGCAGATGTTTACAATGTAATTAGGGTCATGGTAAAGTTCTCTTATTCAGCAAGTTGCAGTTTTTATTACTCTATTAAGAATTTATTGAATTCTCAGTGTTTATGAGGTATTATAGGTGCTGTTTTCACTGTATAGAATAAAAAGTAAGAAATACAGTCCTTACATTGAAGGCACTTAACAGAATTTCTGTAATGATGGAAATGTTCTTTCTTTTTTTAAGAAAGCAAGCCATCCGGTGGTCCAGGATTCAAAGTACAATCGGCCAAGTGGGAGTCCAGCTTCCTTAACCATCACACCACCTGTTGGCCCTGGAAATGTTCTCTTTCTGTGCTATATAAAATGGTAGCCACTAGCCATATGTAGCTACTGAGCACTTGAAATGTACTAATGGAAATAAGGAAATGAACTTTAAATTTATTTGATGTATATATAATGACTATGAACCCAGTGACTACTGTATTGCAGAGCATATGTTTAGATGAAGACTTGAGACCTGTCCGCATGAATTGTAAATTAATCTGCCAAGCAGATTATGGTAAAGTTTATGGTATATGGGCTGCTTTAGCGGTATGGTGAATGAGTGCTGTGAGAATCTACTATAAGTAGAAGGGAGGCTAGATAAGAGTGGGGTGTATAGGGCTTTTAACAAAATTAATTTTTTGTTATTTAAAGATTTGCTATAGGTCATGTGTGCTCATGGAGGGGTGGGATGAGGATAGGGAGGGAAGGTGAAGGTAAGAAAGCAAGCCACCAGGTTTGGGATTTGTACTGTGATTAGCCATGTGGGAGTCCAGCACCTTAACTACCATACCACCTGCTGGCCCAGGGCTTTTAGGGGAGGTGGATTTTAAAGTAAACATCGAAGTCTAGATGTAATTTATAGTCTCAGAAGGAGCTAAAGACCTCCATAGTGAACAGTGAATTGACCAAGAGTAACAAAATGTGATTGAGAAGATAAAGTAGGGCCAGATTTTGGAAGTCCTTGACTCTCTGGCTTGCTTTCTTTTATCCGATTTATACGTTCAGTAAACAAGCACCTTTATTTAACGTGATGCTAGTTCTGGGTACAAGGCTAGGGGCTGGGTGTAGGTTGGTGAACAAACTAGAAATCTCTGTCCTAATGGAGCTTTAAACAAATCAGCATACAACTTGTGAAAAGAACTGAACAGGGTAATAATTGTGCTTGGGAAGAATAATT